TGTGCACGTGCGTGTGTGCAGGTGTGCTGATACACAGGTAAGCACAGGTACTCTGAGACTAACCCCCCTGCCAGTGGTGCAGAGTTTACACCATTGAGTGTGGTCAATCATTCTCATAGAAACCACGTGTGGACCCAACTGACAGTGGAAGAGAGAGACGAAACATTAAATATAATAATAAGGATGAGCAGTAATTGTTTCCAAATGTAGTGTCCCGAGGGGGCAGTGAAGGTAAATACTCTTCTTTGTCCATCCCTGAACTACCCAACCGCAGAGTGGGGCCGGCAATGTGGCTTCTTCCCATCTTGGAGAAACAACATTTTTTTGTGTGCAAGTAAAGTTTTGATACATCACTTTTTAAAAACAATTTACAACAGGGCCGCCTGGGTTGGCTTCAGTGAGTTAAGCGTCTGCCTTTAGCTCAGGTCATGATCTCAGGGTTCTGGGATTGAGCCCCATGTCAGGCTCCCTGCTCAGCGGGGGGTCTGCTTCTCCCTCTCTCCCTGCTGCTGCTCTCTCTCTGTCAAATAAATAAATAAATAAATAAATAAATAAGATCTTCAAAAACAGGCCATGGCTTAGAGGCGGACCACTGGTCAGAGTGTGCGGAACTGCGCTCTAACCTATTTAAAAAAAAAAATTTACAACAGAGAGGGTCAACTGTGTCACACAAGCAGGGAAAATTCCCATACAGTCTCTGGAATGTTTTGAGCTCACTTAAAGACCAAACCACCAAACTCAGCGGTAACGAAGAAACAGTAACATTGCAGCCATCCTTGAAAACCAGCCAGGTTCTGTCATTCAAAAGCTGGGGTTTTCTCCCATCCCCTCAAGAGCTTTTGTCATTCCTCATCTTTCTTTGGAGGCCACAGCATCATTTTCGTTCTCTTTCTTCCATGGGAGAGACAGCCACGAGGCACGATGGTGCAGCTTAGATAATGCGAGTAAATAAAAATTTAAAAAAAATATTGAGCAATATGCTCCCAGCATGCAAGTCCCAGTCTGGGGAAAAAATAAGTCCTTTTGGAAGCTGCCTTAACTCTTTGGGGGTCTCCATGGTACCATTCAGTAAATGATTGCCTCTGTGCATCAAACAACACCCCAGTGGCCTGAAAGAGTTAACGTGGCCTCCAGAAGTGCCCATCGCGGTCCCAGGAAGGAGTGTGAGCCTTGGGAGAATCTGGCTGAGCGTACAATTACTGTTCAGCTCACAGTGGCCCAATTTACTTTATTGTAGAGTGCCTGCAGGAGTCCCACTGCTTGAAAACGATCTAGATGCTTCTGAGTCAACTGCCTGTAAATTGGTCTTTGAGGGGTTTGCCAGTGCACGGAGGAGGACAGGAATTTGTTAGGAAGACATCAATAGCAGAGTTCTCAGTCCTGGGGAGGAAATAATCTTACCAGAAATTCCCAACCAAAAGGATTGATGTTTTCTTTCCGGGGATTCAAGTTTCCAGGTGATAGCCAGTTTCCAGGTGGCAGTCTTAAATTTCTTAGCTATGCACATGCTACTTGGCTATGAGTGAGGTAACTCAGCTCTTCACTCTGCTGCTTACCTGATTCTCTGGGCTTACTCTCCTGCCTCAGCCTTAGTTTCTGTAAAGTGGGAATAATCATAACAATACTGATCTCAAAGGGTTGTCGTAGGATTAATGGAAACAATGCACGTAAGTGCTTGGTCCAACGATTGGCACAAACCCAGCATGCAATACATTCAGCCATCAATCTGCGTAGTGTGGATTTCATAATCATGTATTCACTTATCTAATATTTGTTGAAGGTCTACTATGTGCAATAGCATTTTAACATTGACCTAGCATGTCTGTAGTGGTTTTTTAAAAAATATTTTATTTTTTTGAGAGAGAGAGAGAGCACGAGTGAGCGTGAGAGCATTAGCAGGGGAGGAGGGAGCAGCAGAGGGAGAAGTAGGCTCCTGGCAGAGCAGAGAGCCTGACGTGGGGCTTGATCCCAGGATCCTGGGATCATGACCTGAGCCAAAGGCAGACACCCAACTGACTGAGCCACCCAGGCGTCCCTAGCATGTCTGTAGTTTTAGCAACGCTCTGATGAACTGCTTTCTTATTTATAAAGGAAAGGGGCAACTCTGTCCATTTGTAGGGAAGACAATAAAAAAAGTATTTCAGGTACAAAGTTTTGTTCAAAATAAATATCCATGTACTCACCACCCATATAAAAGAAACAAAACATTTCAGATAAACTGACACCACCTGTGCATGCGTGTTCGCGCTCATTCCCTTTCTGCCCTTCTCCAGTGCAAACCCCCACCCTGCTGAGTTATCATTCCCTGTGGGGGAATATATGTATTCATTGAATATATTATATGGATACAATATGTATTATGTATATTCAAATATATATATCTAATATACATCCAAGTTATACAATAATATGAATGCATTTTAATAATCATAAGTGATATTATTGTGAAATTTATCTGTAAACTCACAGGTTTTTTTAGACTCAAGACTGTAATATACTTTTACAACTTGCTTATTGCACCCAACATTCTATTTCTGGATTTATCCATATTGATACATGTAGCTCTATTTCTTTTTCAGTTCTATATGGTATCCTTACATATGTATGCCACAAATTATTCATTCATTGTCCTATTGATGAACATTGAGTTTTTCCAATGTGACACAATCACAGATAAGGTGCATGATAGTTCGTGTTCATGTCTCCTTGTGTATATGTGCCAACATTTCTACAGGGAATATGCCTAGAAGGGAATTGCTGGGTCATAGGATGTGTCCCCCTATAACTTTATTGGACTTCAAAGGCATTTTCTGCAAGTTGTGCTCCATCAGTAGATCATGGGGGTTTCCTGGTCCTTTCCCACATTTAGTATTGTCAGGCTTTACATTCTTACCAACCAGAAAAATATGATATCTCATTGTAATTTTAATTTGCATTTTCCTGATTATTAGTAATTTGTTATTTATTGTATCTTTTATAAGTTACTGTTTCATTTGCCTGTTTTTAAAAAAATCAGGTTTTTAAAAATTAATTTGTAGGAATCTGGACACTATTGCTTTGTTCATTATATGCATTATAAATATTTTTCCCAATCTGTGGCTTGTTTCCTTTGTATGTAGCATCATTCAATATAGAGAACATTTCTAAAATGTTTTTACTCTTTAATAAATATGGTGTCTACGGCAAGGAAACACATTTCCCTCTGGAATTTTGATGTTTTTCTCACCTTTTCTAGAAGGAGGCTCTCAGCTTTAAAAAACTCAGTCACATCTTTTGGCAGGAATGTAATTTAATAATATGGCTGGTGAGTAGAAGCAGTGGATGGCAATCCAGCAAAACTGTATTTTGTTGAGGTCATTAATTGCCAGGAATGTGCTCAGAAGCCTACCTCCCTGGGGAGGTGGGAAACTGGGAAGGTGAAGTTGCCAGGAACTCAAGTCCTGTGCCAAGAAGAGTCACTCCACTCTGACTGTTGGTTTGGAGAGGACTCTCCTCATCCTGGGACTAGTAAACTCTGCCTGTGACAACACAGGAGAACAAAGGGAGAAAATTCTAATGAAAAGCAGACTGGGAGGGAATTCTGAAAAGTGTCGGGCATCCTAAGTGGAATTTTAAAATTAATGACTTCTATTAAATAGTATCCTAAACAATAAAAGAAAAAGTCCAAGGCAGAAAGATGGCCAAATAGGATAGAACTAGAGAAGGAACAGAGAAGAAAGAATTTTATTTTTTTTAAAGATTTTATTTATTTATTTGACAGAGAGAGGGACAGCGAGAGAGGGAACACAAGCGGGGGAATGGGAGAGGGAGAAGCAGGCTTCCCGCTTAGTGGGGAGCCCCATGTGGGGCTCGATCCCAGGACCCTGAGATCATGACCTGAGCCAAAGGCAGACGCTTAACGACTGAGCCACCCAGGTGCCCCGAGAAGAAAGAATTTTAAAGAATTAAAAAGAAAAAGAAATAGGAGATTAAAAGTGACCACGACCACTTGGACTTAAAAGCATTTCCTGAGCCTGGAACTAGAGCTAGAAAACAAAGGAATTGATTGAGAAATTTCATTTCATGTAAATTTCAGATTTCTGTACAGCAAAACCTAAAAGTACCAAATTAAAAGAGAAAATGACAAATTTGAAAAAATCACAATAGTATTATGGACCAAGTGTTAACATTTTTTTATATATAAAGAGCTTTTTAAAACAAATAAGAAAATAGTGAAAAACCTAATAGAATAAAAGGCTAAGGGTAAAAACAGGCAATTCAAGAAGCGTGAAAAGTGTTCATCTATTTTAGTAATCAAAAGACTGCAATTGAGATTCTCATTTAAGATAAAAATGCATGACAGTGCACAATGTGTGTACAGAAACTAGTCCCCTCCCATGGAACCCCTGGTGAGGCTAATCAGGTAAATGTTTTCTGGGGAATGAGTTAGTAATACGTACCAAAGCACTAAAAGAAAAAAAAAAAAAAAAAGAAGCATGCCCTTTTAACTTGCAATCCCACCCTTTAGAACTTATCAAAGGAAATAACTGTATGACTTAAACTACGATATCTGCACAAGGTTTGAGAAGCATGAAGCATGCAAGAGGAAAATCATTGAGGTAGCAGTTGATGGGGTAAGGTGAGGGAGAGGGGGACCTAGAGAATCACCCTTGGAATTTCCCACTAGGGCAACTGGGTGCTTGGCAGAACCATTCGCAGAGACAGGATATAATAGATTTAGGAGGAAGGCAATGGATTGGACTATGTGTATTTGACAATCCAGCAGCATGAGTTCAGGGGCAGATGTTCAGGGCCCAGGGCAGAAGTTGAAGAATTCACAGGCACTAGGGTAGGGATACAGTGGAAGCTGTTAGGGTAGGTGTTTTGATGGCCTTTGGGATACCCCTGGGACAGTGAGGTGACCCATTGGTTTGGGCTGGCAGGGGGAGTGGCAAGGCGATTCTCATGCCTTGCTTTGTAGCTTTGGCATCTTTGCTGGAATCCTGTTTATTGCACTTCAGGCCTGGGAAAACTCTGTGGGGATCATCTGCTTTCCCAGTCTCCAAAGGCTGGCAGAAGATACTTCTAACCAGCTTGCCCAAGAGATACAGAAGGCACTTGTGGGAAAGCCAGCAGGTAAGAGAACACTTTATGGAGAGCTAAACAGCCTTGCATGCTCCTTCCAGGACTCCTGCGAAGCCCCTCTCTGCTCTCTAGTAGAGTCTGGGTGGTGCTTTCCAGAGAGCACAACAGGCTCACTTCTGCCAATGAGGATGCTGGGAATGAAGGGAAAGGTTGGCAGAGGAGGGAAGAGGGACTTGCAGAATTCTGCTGCTCCTGGGAGGGACACACACACACACACACACACACACACCAGGACCAGGGTCTCTGGGAGGAGGATAAAAGGTACACCCGTGTGTTCAGTGAATAGTTTGATCCAAAAAAGACACAGAAGCCAAAGCCAAGCATGTTTTCTGTTTTGGGGTCTCCTGACTTGCATTCTTCTGCTCCTAGAGCTGGACCCTGGAGGCTGGGCAGAGTTTCATGGTGACTGTGGGTCTGAGGGGCAGGAGGGAACTCTAGGGGGCAGGAGTATCTTGAGCATGGTGTAGATTGCAGGAATTTCTGCAATATAAGGGGCTGGAGGATATAGGAAGTGGAGGTGGCGTGAAGACTCCGGATTGTGAGAAGTCCAATAGCTGAGGAGCTTCTTATTATTTGATAATGGAGAGCCATTGATGGTTGTTGAACAAGGGTGGTCACATGATAAAGACGATCCTCCCAGGAGATTAATCCGGCAGAGGGTGAAATGTTTGGTATGGATTCAGATGGCATTGTGGGGAGGAAAGGAGACAGAAGTGCCCTAAAGATGCTAAGGCATATCTCACGGGGAAGGAGGCCAAGGGGAGGGAAGGAGGGTGGGCAGGTCATTGCACCGCCTTGCTGGTAATGCTTTCTCTCCTTCATGTGCTATTACCAGAGCAAGCGAGGGAGGCAGCTGGACAGTTGCTGCGGTGGAAGGGGGATGTGGATCAGGATGGCTACCTGCTCCTGAAGTCAGTATTTGTGCTCACGGGGACAAACTCGGTAAGTTCCAGGCCCCTTGGGCCCCAGCTTGAGAGCTCCATATCCATGTGCAGCAGGAAGTCCCAGCAAAGGGCCATGGCACATCTCAAGAGTGTCTTTTTTGCTGTGATACTGATTTATCATTTCTCCTGCCCTATTTCCCTTCTGACCTAGAACATGGACTTGAGCATTTGAAATTCATTTTCGAATCCTGCTTTTCTGAGTTGACAAACTGTGTGTCACCTTGGGCAAATTGTCACCTTTCTGTGACACAATTGTGTGGCTAATTTTAGAATGGGGGATAATGCCTTAGTTCTCGGGTTAGTGCAGGGGTTAACAATGGCTGATGTGTGTGGACGGTTTCCTGTGTCGGGGCAAGGCTGATGTGTCCCGTGCAGGTCAATTAAACCCCCTAAGCCCTCTGAGTCAGACTATGAAGCCATGTTAGTTACCATCCTGTGTACCTGCTCTCTGTCTGACTCCAGAGCCTGCGCTCCAAGCCACTGCTCTTTACTGGCTCCTGCTAAACTCAGACCGAAGGAGCCCCACCTAGGCACCAGTCCCACACCTGCCCGGAGACAGTGCCTGAATGAGACTGGCTTCTCTTTCTTCCCTTCCCATGGTGACCCATCCTGGTTGCAGACATGTCCTCCCTGTGAGTGGATTGCGGATGGCTGGTGTCCTCTTAGGCAGAAGCAGTCCCCGGCAGCTGTGGCTAGCAGCAGAAATGGCCAGGGGTCCTGGACAGGGCAGGCCCAGAGACTCATGTGCCTGGTGAGAGTGCCCACTGCATGCCAGTCTGGCGCTCAGCGCTGGGAGCAGCAGGGAACCAGATGGGGGCATGGCCCGCCTGAGGCTAACAGTGAACACAGACCTCAGCCGGGCATCTGAAACAGTGTGTGCAGCTGTGAGAGGAGCTTGGTGTGCAGTTGCTCACTGCAGGGAGGATCCGCTGGCCTTTGCTCTACATAAACCGCCCAGACCACCATCAGCACGGCAGCCTGAAGTGCAGGGCAGGAGCTTTTCTGCCCCCAGGGCAGGACTGTTCATAGTCTGGTGGTAAAAATTAACCTAAGGGCTTGTCTTCCACCGTGAGCAGCCAGCCCAAAAAGCAGTGAGACAAGTAAGCAGTTGGCTTTCAGTAGAGCCCGTGCAGCACGGAGGACAGGGGAACCCCGCCACAAGCCGGGTCACAGCAGAGCCACGGCCTTTACCGCGTACTGGAAGCTTCGAGGGGGAAGGGTAGGACCAACAGCCTGCCTTATATTTCTGGTTCTGGCCCAGACCATACATTCTTCCTTTTCCTTTTTCTCATTTTGCCACTGTTATCTGTCACATTAGTCTGCTGGGTGGGAAGTTGGGCAGGCAGTATGCGTTAGACTAATGCCATACGTGCGCCCACGTGCACACATGTGCGCCCATGTGCACACGCGTGCACACACACATGCGGCTGTTGCTGCTGCCATAACTCCCGGGGCAGCTTCAGGCAGAGCACGTGGCAGAAAGGCTCCAGGAAGCTCCATACTCAGGCTGGTCCCCTCCCTGCCCGCTTCCTGTCTTCTCCCCTCTGTCTGGCCACGCTGGTTATCAGTGTTCACCTATAGGACTGTTTCGGTCTTGGGGAAGTCTCAGACCTGAACGAGGGGATGGGACGGGCCTTGCTCAGGTCCTGCATTAGGTGTTTGCCCTTGTTATGAACCATGCCCTCGTGAGTGTCCAATTCCCTAATCAGGAGGCAACCGACCCAAATCAGTAGTGTGATCATGTAGGAAAGCCCTTGTTTTCTGCTCTGCACCTGACCCTCCCTCCCTCCCTTCATTCCTCCTTTCCCTCCTTCCTATTAGCTATCCTGTAAATGAAGACATGTTAATCGAGCACATAGTATACACTCTACATAAATGTAATCTTCACAGCCGCCCTAGGTGGGTCGGATGATGGTCTCCACGCTAACGTGAGAATGTGCGGCCCAGAGAGAGGACAGGGTTTACCCATGTTCCTGGCTAAAACGGCCGCAGGGCTGGACTGTGCCGGTCTGGGTTGGAGGGGTGCTCTGCGGGCTCTGCGGCCGTGGGTCACGTCTGTGCTTCCCTTGCAGGAGACCCTGGGCAGAATTGCCGAGTCTGGCCTTCCAGCCCTGCTCCTGCAGTGCCTTTACCTCTTCTTTGTCTTTCCTCTGGAAAAGGATGAGCTTTTTGAGAGTGATGTTCAAGTTCAGAGGATGTTTGTACAGGTGAGTGAGAGGAGGGCTCCACATCCCTGGGCCAAGACCTGGCCCTGCTTCATCTTCCTCAGTCATAGCCCTGAAGCAACTCTGTCCTCCTGGAGGGCCAGCTCCTCTGTTGGTCCCCATGCTCTGCAGATGCCAGCAATCCTGTGCATTTGGAAAATGGATGTTCTTCTCTCTCCATCTCATTGCATCCCTTGTTCTCCCCCAGAAAATGTGCTCCTCCTCCTGCACTTGGCCCCAGCAGCTTCTCTTCCTCCAGGCTGCATTCTCAGGCCCTGCCTGTCCTCCCCAGCATGTGGAGCCTCCTGTCTCTGGCCCCTGCCTCCTCTGAGGACAAGCACGCTAACTGCACTTGCATAAGGGTAGCCAACATTTTCCAAGTACTTCCCTGAACCCACCCGTGCCACGGCCTCACACCTGTCACCTCCCTGAGCCCTCTCTTCCATTCCAGGGTGTGTGTAGTATTACAATTCTGATTCCATGTCAACTAAAGTATGGTGAGTGAAAGTGGGTCCAGGGGCACAGAGGTAGTGGGTGGGGGGCTGGGATTGGGCTCCCAAGACCACTTCGTCAGGTCACCTCCTTCCCCCTCCCAGAACCTATCTCAGGCTGCTAAACATCAAATGCAATTTTCTGGTGTCGTTCCCCATTTTTCCTATCCTCTCTGACTACCAGCAGCAACTTTTAGCATAACTTCTCACCTCTTTCCCTGCCCCCTTACTGACCAGTTCTGCTTTCTCAGCTTCCCGGATGCTGCATTCTCCAGAAAACTCCTCTTGCCTCTCTGGAGGAGACCTTGGTCAGGGGAGGGTAAGGAAGACCCTGTGTCCTACTCAGCTTTCTGCAGCCAGGGCCTTGGGGCACCCTGTCACAGAGCAGGTGCTTAAGAGCTTTTGGGAATTTCCAAGTGCGTTTGTGCATTGCACATGTGTATTCACGTTAGCATCCATTTGAGATTCATTCTCAAGCCAGCATCATCGTTATCAGAAGTTATCTCACAGGTTCACTTAGAGTAGGTTATCCCTTAAGCTGCATTTGTTGGAAACTGAGGCATCATTTATCTGTATATAAATCATATTCTAAGTGGTGGCCAGGATGCAGTCCTGGGCACTTGGACAAATCTTTTTTTTTTTTTTTAAAGATTTTATTTATTTATTTGAGAGAGAGAGAGAATGAGAGATAGAAAGCACGAGAGGGAAGAGGGTCAGAGGGAGAAGCAGACTCCCTGCTAAGCAGGGAGCCCGATGTGGGACTCGATCCCGGGACTCCAGGAACATGACCTGAGCCGAAGGCAGTCGCTTAACCAACTGAGCCACCCAGGCGCCCGGACAAATCTTTACCATGTAGTTTTTACGTGTCCTGCAGAGAACTAGTGCAAACCTGCCTTCAGGGTTCGATCCCTGTATGGGTAGATTGCGAGCCACAGTGATAGGCCATGGCTGCATTCCTCAGGGTTTTCCTTATTTCATTCCGCAAAAATATATGGAGCTCCTCCCCTGTGCTGCCCTACACCGGACCGATGGTTCCAGCAGCAAGCATAGTACCCTCTCTTGTAGAGGTGACAGAAAGTTGGGGAAGCCAAACAGGGTAAATAATCATGTAATTAAATAGCAGTGTCCCAATTTTTTAAGTGCTCTGAAGGAAAAATGGAAGGTGTGCTGGGAAATGAGGACAAGGGGACCTGATTTATAGCAAAGCATAAGGGAAGGCTGTCGGGAGGAAATGGCATTGAACTAGAGCTGAAGGTTGTAGCGGAGGTGTGAAGGGGGAAGGGAGGGGACAGTAGCAGAAGTGGTGTCCAAGCCAAGGGTCACATGGCCACGCCCACCTGCGGGGGAGGCCAGCAGAGGGGGTCTGGAGCCCAGCTCTGTGGCTGTCCAGGTTGGACTCTGTCACTGTGCTCAGAAGGGGCTAATAGATTCAGATGGAAGGAGCTCTTCATATTTGCCGAACTAGAAGGAGATCCAGTTAGACCACCCAGAGCCAAAGGGAGGGCTGCACACAACCACAGGTGCGAGGAGGTGGGCTAGTCTGCACAGAACTCTGTGAGCTGTGATTTGCCCCAAGTGGCAGGAAGGTATCAGAAGGCCCTCTGGTAGCCATAGGGAGACTGGTGGGGAGGAGGCACGGGGCCCAGAGAGGAAGTTATAGGATGAGGCTCATGATCTTATGAGAGGTAGGGTTTGAGTGCCAACCAGGGATCTGGGAACACATCTCTCTCTCTTTTTTTAAGATTTTATTTATTTATTTGAGAAAGAGAGCGCAAGCATGAGCAGGGAGAGAGGGAGAAGCACACTCCCTGCTAAACAGGGAGCCTGATGTGGGGCTCGATTCCAGGACCCTGGGATCTTGACCTGAGCTGAAGGCAGACGCTTAACCAACTGAGCCACCCAGGCGCCCTGGAGCACATCTCTTTTTAAATAGCAATGGGTCCTATTAATTCTATACTTTAACTTTTGATGACATTTTTTCCTGCACTTCTATGTAAAAGGACAACTCTCTAAGTCAAACCCTTGTTATTCTGAATTGGAAAGGGTAAACTGCAGACTTTAGCCCAGGCCCTGTCACCCTTTTCTAGGTGGTGTTGACGACCATGATGCTCTGGGGCAGAGTGTGACCCATACAACCCATCCTTTGCACTGAGACATACGCCTCTGGCCTCTGGAAAAGTAGGGAAGAAATCTGTTATAGGAAGGAGGCTTCCTAACCAGGCATCTTTTCTTTTCTTTTCTTTTTTTTTCTCCAGATGTTGCTGAACATTTGCAGTGAGTCTCAGGGACTGGAGAGACTTCTATCAGGAAATGAGCTCCAATCTCTAGTGATTGCCACTACCTGTCTTCGGGAACACAGCTGCTGTTTTTGGAAGGAGCCCACCTTCTGTGTGCTGAGGGCAATCTCCAAAGCCCAGAACCTCGGCATCATCCAGTACCTGCAAGGTGTGACCCCAGGAGACCAGGGCTGGGATATAGGCCCACTTTCTACAGTGAGACCTTGGAACCAAAAAAGAGATGGACAAACAAGGTCTTCACGGATGCCCATCTATGCCCAGTAGATGACCTTTTGCTTGGTTTCCTTTACAAAATTGTCTTTCTTATTTATTTTGGTGCTCCATCGGAGGAGGAAAGGAAAGGGGAACTCATTTACTGCACACATGCTATCAAACAGACACCGTGCTAGGCCTGCTAGGCCCATTTGTGTGTTATCTCATCTGTGTCTTTGAGATGAATATTAATGCCATTTTGTAAAGGGGAAAATGGAGACAGGGTGGAAGAACTTGCCCAGCTCCCTAACTCATAAACAGGAGAATCACATTCTAAACCCAGAGATGCCCAATCCAGTGTTTTCAGCTCTGCTCTGGGCAGCATAAATAGGCGTTAAGGCCGTAGATTCTGGAACCAGACAGCTGGGCTGTGGACTCCAGCTCTGTCCTCCTGTTCTCATAGCTGAATGACCTTGAGCACTTAAGTGCTTGTGTGCCTCAGTTCTTTTATCTGTAAAATGGGGATAGTAAACCCTTGCCCTCTGATCTGTCTTCTTTCTGGGGCCTCCCGTAACAGGGGGAGTCAGTTGCTGACAGCTGAGAGAGTTCAACAAGCCCACTGCCCTACTTTAACTGAGCCAGGGACCAAACGTCAGCCCCAGGTTAGGGATTCAAGGCTCCCAGTGAGGCCAGGGCCCAGCAGTAATGGCCCCGAGCTGAGCTGGGCCTGAGATGCTCAGCAGCCCAGATAACCCCCATAGGCTGGAGGCAGATCCCTGAGAAAAAGCTGTGTGCATTGGCAGCAGGGGTCTCTCACTGTGTCATTACTGTTAGCTGTCCAAGACAATAACCAGAAAAGAAAATTCTCACCTTGGTGGGGAGCCTGCCGCCTGGAGCACTGAGCCCAGGATTCCCTTAGGTTCGGAATGGGTAATTTCCGTGGGCATAGAGGCTGAAGAGAAGGTCTGGAAGAAAGAGCTGGCCTTGTGGTTACCTGCCAAGCCCGTAGCTCTTGGGGCTGACCTGCCCATCATGCAGACATTGGAGGCATCTGAAGCCTTGCAGCTGAGGGACACAGCACATGTTATCGAGTAGACATTTTTCCTGATCCACTGGTGTGTCTTTCCTGGCACTCAGAAGAGGCTTCTCCAGGTGAAAGAGCTCCAAAAATAGTGATCCATTGAAATGCAAATCCAGTGACATCTCTCTTCTGACTCAAAACTCCCCTTGGCTTCTCACAGCTCTGGGTAACATAACAGGCAAGTCCCAGGACCAGGGCCCACACACGAGGTGGCCCTGCCCTCCTCCCCCTCCCTTGTGGCTCACACTTCTGGGTGCCAAACACCTGGGTACTTTAGTAGTGGAAACACACCATCTTTTGGTCCCTTACCTTCTTACATACTCCTATATCCTTCCCTGAACTTTTCATCAGGCTGATCTCTGCGCATCTCCGGAGATGCTTCCTTAAGAAGGTCTTTCTCAGTGCCCAGCATTGTGTAGCTCATGACCTGATGGACCCGCCCTTCCTGCCCCACTGCATGCTGGGAACTAGGGGCAGCTGGATATAAGACGCTTCCTTCCTCTTCCTGTTTCGCTTGCTCTCCATCTGGGTCTGCAGAGTGTGGCTCTTGGGATTGTACTTCCCATGGGGGAGACTCCTTCTTGCCTCAAGACCCAGCAGAAAAGTGTTTTTGAATTCTCATTTACATCTTGATACATACAGTTGAAAGGAGGGCGGGGAACCAACGACCATGGCAGAAAAGCTCTGGCTTCCAAACTCAACAGGGTTGTTTTCTTCCCTCAGCCATGGACTGCATCAAGCTCTCCCTTCAGAACCTCTCCAAGCTTGTGGACAGCCTCCCTGTTCCCGAGGTGAGCGAGGCAGTGAACCTCATCTTGGCCTTTGTGAAGGACTCCTACCCCATCTCCTCGGCTCTGTTCCTAGACTTTGAGAATGGGGAGGGCTACCCTCTGCTCCTCAAAGTGTTACTTCGGTAAGTGGTTGTCCTTGGTGGCGAAGAAACTGCCAAAGCGTAGGTCCTCAGTATCATTTGGGGGGCTTTGGAGAAAGACAGATATTGAGGCTTCTTTGAATATCTTCTGAAGCACAAATTTGCATAGAGCATGGCCAGAGAGACTTTTATTGCAAAAATAATTCAAGGTGCGTCAGGGTCTGGGAGCCAGTTCCTTTGAGAATGGATGGGGAATCACCAAGTTTATTTGGTGGTACATACCACATGCATGCCCACTGGCTTGACAGCCACCTATCAGAACCCACATCTCTGTGCTGGAGGGCTCTCTGGGACTGTTGTAACCCGCTCTGCCTACATGCTTGGGGGGCTGGAAGGAGTTCTGAGGAGTCAACAACCCCCAGAAACAGCCCTCAGCTGAGGACTGGCAGGAGCTGATGTGTAAATACCCAGCAAAGTTGCCCCTTGGGTGGGACATCTCTACCCTGCCTCCCAGAGTCCCCGGGAGTGTTACACTCCCATTGCCCCACAGGGTGCTTACCTGACAATGCTCCTGTCCTGGCTCCCTTCCCTTTCTTCTTACAGACTCTTTCCACTAGCAGAAGTTTTCGGTTCAACTCCCAAATGAACTACCTTCTCTCTCTCAAATCTTTGACTATGAGAAACCCAAATGAAGACACAACTGAGCTGGGTCAGGACTCATCTCCTCCACTCTCACTTGCTGTATTATTTTCAGGTCGGGTCCAGGGATGGATAAGACAAGAGATGGAAATCAAAGAAATACCTTGATTGTTCCAACTTTTCCATTGCTCTTGGGGAAGCTGCTTAAGGGCAGGGCCACATATACTCCATTGTGCTCTGCTCTGTGAATATGAGAAGCCGTTCTCATCCATGGGGTATGGCTTCCCACTGTGCTTCACAGACTTGACTGCAGAGTCAGTTTTCTAGTCTAGAAGGGACAGTTGGTTGAGGGGGCTGAAGCCCCTAAAGAATGGGACTAGATGACAAAACCTTGAGGGCCTTCCTCCAAAGGGACACTAAAAATAAATGTTCCTGTGGGGTTGCTAGGTTTTACACTGGTCTGGATCATGACCACCTGGTTATTGCTCCCAAGAAGTCAGCGGCATAGCAGTTCCTAGACATTTCTTCTGTTAACTGGGTGGTTGGTTTTCTCCAGAATTCTTGTGGAAGCCAGGAGGGGGAAATGAGCCTGATCCGGGGAGTGTCAGGAAGGACCCATCTCAGCTCATTGGATTTTTTTTTTTCTGCCTTACCTGAAGTCATACTGCAAGCACCTTTGCTCTTGACATGGCAGAGCTGGAATAAGATTTGAGAGAGAGAGACAGACCCTCCTCCACAAGAAGAGAAAGGTAGCCCACCTACACATAAGTAGCTAAGAATGAAAATAATGCTCAACCTTGACATAAGCATAAGGAAGTCTAATAAAGTTTGATTACTTCCCAAGAGGTTTGTTTGCCCACTTGAAATATTAAATTTCTCATTTTGGGGCTGCCCCTGCTCTGCCGGTGTGCATGTCTTTTGGGGTGGGTTCAGGCAGAGGAAGCAGCCTTCCCATGAGCAAACGCTTAGCTCTTTACAGGTTTCTATATATTCCGACTGTATGTCCTTACACCTAAGGCTGACATTTGCAGAGTGACTTTTATCCAGGGTGCTCCCCTTGCCTTTTGGTGCTAAACTGGTGGAGACCTCTGGGGGTCTGGCATTGCCTCTGCATCCCTGTGAGGAGCGCCGTGAGCCAACATGGCTGCCTTGTCTGTCCCTGCAGGTACGATGGGCTGACGCAGAGCGAAGTGGACCCCCACCTGGAGGAGCTCCTTGACCTGGTGATATGGCTGACAACCTGTGGGAGGTCAGAGCTGAAGGTGTTTGACAGTGTCACGTACCCTCAGCTGGAAGGCTTCAAGTTCCATCACGAGGCTTCTGGTGGGTCATCTTCTGTCTCTGGGGGCCCGGCGGCGGCTGGCACTGGGCCCTGACAAATGCTACACGGTCTTTTCCTGACTCTTTGGGAAGAAACGAATGCTTGGCACCTGTCAGTGACTTTTTTTTTAAATTTTATTTTATTATGTTATGTTAATCACCATACATTACATCATTAGTTTGTGATGTAGTGTTCCATGATTCATTGTTTGCGTATAACACCCAGTGCTCCAAGCAGAACGTGCCCTCTTTAATACCCATCACCAGGCTAATCCATCCTCCCACCCTCCTCCCCTCTAGAGCCCTTAGTTTGTTTTTCAAAGTACATCATCTGTCATGGTTCGTCTCCCCCTCCGATTTCCCCCCCTTCATTCTTCCCCTCCTGCTATCTTCTTTTTTTTTTTTTAACATATAATGTATTATTTGTTTCAGAGGTACAGATCTGTGATTCAGCAGTCTTGCACACTTCACAGCACTCACCATAGCACATACCCTCCCCAATGCCTATCACCCAGCCGCCCCATCCCTCCCACCCCCCACCACTCCAGCAACACTCAGTTTGTTTCCTGAGATTAAGAATTCCTCATGTCAGTGAGGTGATATGATACATGTCTTTCTCAATGCTTGGCACCTGTCAGTGATTCTGTCGTGCCTTTGCGGAGATTACCTATGGATTTTAAATCTCCCCTTTTTAGAATTTTTTTTAGATGTCTTGGTGGGACTTAGAGGAAATGTTTGCTTACTAAATGCAAAGACCCTCTCAGATAATGGAGGGAGCCTCTAGCCACCAATCCCACCTCTGCCGTGGCTTACTCTGCAACGTGTGCTCATGCATGAGTTCTGATGTCCCCAAGACAGCCACCCAGGCTCAGAGACAGGGCCTCCTCAGCTCTTTGGTTACTTGCTTGATGAACTCTGTGCTGCAGAGGCACCAGTGTGACCAGGCAGGTATCTGCTCCCTCAAATGTCTCTGTAGAGACTGTCACACATACACTGAATCATGATCTCCTCCGTAGCTGGCTGATAAATGCATCGGGGACAGTGGTGACACCAGGCAGATGGGTTGGGTCTGTCCGGGTTAGTCAGGAAACTCTGCCCAGAAGGAACCATTCAAGTGGGGTTTCAAGGCTCAGAGTGGATCGCCCAGGCAGAAAGAAGAGGATAAAGTTCAAAGGCAGAAAGTACAGCCCGAGGAAAGATGTGGGGACTGCAAACGTCCGGGCGAGTCTGGGGAAATGGACACAGAGACAGGAACAGACCAGAGCGTGGTGTTTCAGGAACATCTCTGGGGTCTGAGGCAGGGAGGCCTGGAGGCAGAGTGTTCTCTGATGGAGTGTCTCCTGAGCAAGAGAAGATGAGGCTTCACCCATGAGCTGGAGAGACAGGAGGGGATGGCTTCCGAAGGTGTCTCTGTTTAGCTGCTTGGCTAGAAATGAAACTGACATTGCTTCATAATCTTTAACATCATTTGATTTTAATTGATTAAAACCAACCCTCCAGCCCAGCACTGCCCAAAGGAAATATAATGCGAGACATATCACATAATTTTAAATGGCCTAGTAGCCATATTTAAAAAAATAAAAAGAAACAGGTTATTTTTCATAATATATTTTATTTAACCTAATATATCCAAAATACTACCATTTCAACGTGCGGTCAATATAAATAATTGTTAATGGCGTTTTGGGGCCTTCTTTGTGCTACATCTTAGAAATCCAGTGTCTGTTCTTACACTCATGGAACATCCCAGTTGGGTGGCCACATTTCCAGGGCTCTGTGAGCCACCACGTCTTGGACAATGCAACCCTAGCCTTACTCACACTCTGGGCAACTGGCTTTTCTGGACTTCTGATAGACACTTACCCACAGGAGCTGGAAAATAGAAACTAAAAATGGTATTTCCTAATGGCAATGCAAGCACATGTTTCTAGGCACAGGCAGGAGAAATGACCTGCAGGATTATTCCTTCTTTCCTCTTCAGGGGTGACCATTAAGAATCTTCAGGCCTTCCAAGTCCTACAGAATGTTTTCCACAAAGCCAGCAACCCCGTCCTCTGCACCAAAGTCCTGGCAGCCATCAGGACCATGTGGGCCTGGAATGCCCGCAACTTCTTCCTGCTGGAGTGGACCCTGCAGCCCATCTCGCAGTTTGTGGAGATCGTGCCCCTGAAGGCAGCCCCAGTGCAGAAGCACTTCTTCCAGCTGCTGGAGGCCCTGGTGTTCGAGCTGCATTATGTGCCCCACGAGATCCTGCGGAAGGTGCAGTGCCTGATCAAGGAGAGCCCTGAGTCGCCCTGCACCCTTGTGGCCCTGCAGAGTGTCCTCAAGATAGTCGGCAGGGACCTCCTCTTCACTGACATCTTCCGGGACTCCGGTCTCCTGGGCCTGCTGCTGGCCCAGTTGCGGAAGCGGGCCAAGATCCTGAGGAAGTCAGGTGCCTCCCGGGAGCATCGGGAGGGGTAGGGGGAGCACCTGGGGGGTGTGCGTGCCACTCTGCCACCCATCAATGTAACAGGAAAAGTGAGCGTGCCCATGTCACCTGGCACCATGAGGGTTGGACAAGGGGCACGTGGCTTTGCAGAGCAGGCAGCCCCTCTATTTCCTGTAACTGCACTGATCTTCCCCAGGAAGAGGCCAGAGGGATGGGTGTACCTTTAAACAGACTCATGGGGCTAACTCAGGCCTGATGAATTCTCAGCTTGCAGATATCTCCTGCACTGGATGGTGTCTGAGTATGTAGATGGAGAGACGTCAGGGGGGCAAGGGAGCTCAGAGAGTCCTGGAGCTCTGGCAGGGCAGAGGGTGGGAGACGTGTGTGTGTGTGTGTGTGTGTGTGTGTGTGTGTGTTGGGGAGGGTCAGCTGGTACACAGCCTCCTTTCGGTGCTATCAGGCCCAGCGATCTCCCACCTGGAGCAGTGATCACTGCTGCCTGGCTTCCCCCTCCAGGTCTTGTCCCACTTCTGGGTCCTTCTGGCAGCTGTGGCTCCTTGGCAACATCCCTTCACCCCTACCTTGGCCCTGGGCTCTCAACCTCAGCAGCCTCTGCTGCCCCCGTGGGACTCCAGGCTCCCTTCTGTCCAGGCGGGAGTGCTGGCCTGGGCTCTCTCACTGCCTGACCATGCCCCATGCACCCACCCTGCTGTGGTTTGTCCATGATCCCCACCTCCACCAACCTGTGGATAGGAGCCAGGGCATGAGAACTCCTTTCCCAGTTCTTCCTGGCTTTCCTGTACCTGCCCCTCTGGGCTTTCAGCTTAGAGAAGGCACACAAGGACACTGAATCCAGCCACTTACCTCTTCCCACCTCTTGGCCTTTTCTCCTTCTGTACTGGCTGGGAGGGGCTGAAGACTCTCTAGCCATTGGCTCCTTTTGGAATTGGGCTTCAGACTCAAGCTAACGTCATCCGTCTGTCCGTTCCCTGGTTGAGGGGAAGAAGCTGAGGGAAAGGGTATGGGCATTGGGGCCAGACAGCCCTGGATGGGAGTCCTGGTCATGTTCCTTACGAGCTGAATGATGCTAAGCAAGTTACTTAACCTCTCTGAGCCACTTTCCTCCTCCATTAAATGGGTGCAAGAATGTTTACATCATAAGGATGTGGTCAGCATTAAATGAGGAAGTACTGGGGAGGTCTCCCCGCCGCACCTGGAGCATCACGGGTGCTCCAGAAATGTTAGTTGTCTTCTCCCCTGTGGCTTCTGTGGTACTGCATGGAGGACTGAGATAGACAGGTAACTTTGGGAGGCCAGGAAGGACTCACGTGTCCCTGGGAGTGTTTGCAAATCGGGTCAAGGTTGAGGATGAGGAGCTCCCACCTTTACATATCTGGGCCTCTGGGCTGGGCCTTGGAGACCATTTTGCCATGTGCTTTTTTCTGCTGCCCTTTGCATAGTCTTTTTGTTTAATGTTTCTGTTACCTTACTGTGTATTGCTTCTCAGCAGCCTGCTATTGAATTTCCTTTTAAATCCAATCCTCAGACCTATGCCCATTCCCAGCAGAACTGGAACTTTTTTGTGAGCTGATGTATCCAGTCTTACTTTGTGCTTTCTGTTGTTATAATGTTATAACACTCTTCATGTTTCTATTGTAGTGTCTAGTGTTTCTATTGTTTCTTATTCTTCTTAGATAATTTGTCTCCTGGTTAATGAACTCTACATTCATTCATTCCCCAAATAGGTATTGGGCTTCCCTCTTGTGTCAGGCACTTTTCTGGCACTCAGGACTCAACAGTGAACACACAGGCCTGGTTTGCCCTCATAAATCTATTGGAAACACCCATCCACTCCAGAATCTGTCAAGCCTCTCTGCACCACACGTGTGAGCGGGCAGTCCTCCATCCCAGGCATGAATGGCAAAATATAAAACTGTCCAAAGGGAAGTCAAAGAGGAGGGCTTTGGACATTATGTAGAGTAGTGGTTCTCAAAGAGTGGTCCTCATAGAAGCTCCATCAGCATCATCTGGGAACTTTAAAAAAAATGCCATTATAGAATCCCACCTAAGACCTCCTAAGCTAGAAACTCTGGGGAGGAATTCTAGCTTCTGGATTTTAGCAAGCCCTCCAGGGGATTTTGATGTGCTTAAGTTGGAGATCCATGGCTATAAGGAGTTATAGGGTGACTTCTTCTGAATTGGGATGCATGCTCCCTTATAATAGAAGCATTATATTCTCATTCCCTTAAGAGTATAGAAAATTAATGGAATTAGAGATTTGGGGTCATACTATGTGTACTTAAGATTTTCTTTGTTGCTTCTTAAATACAGCAGGAAACAAAGACTCCACGCTTGGTGTTCAGGATACAGAGAGAGAATTGACCTGCGTGATGCTGAGAACCGTAGTCACACTTCTGAGAGGCTCAGTACGGAATGCAGGTAAGGATGGTACCAAACTCATCTTGTCACTGCTTGGTAAAACATTAACTGTCTCCAGTGATTTATGTCAGTGTTTCAAGGTTATATCCAAGGAATAACCAACATTAAAGCTGTGGCCAATGTCCATTTGCTGGTTGATGTCCAGCGATCATCAGTAAATTCGTAGACAGCTTGGTTGACAGATTTTACTTTTAAGGTTGCTAAATAAGTTTGAGATAGAGATATCCTAAATTTATGAGACCAAAGAATTGCTCCCCACCTCTTTCAAGTAAAATCTATCAATATCCTGCTGCACCGACTAAGGTGCTTTTTAAAAAAATCAGAATTGTAAAATATAGGTAAAGGAAGGCTTTTTGAGAGGCTTCCAGCCCATGATGAACTTAGTAGCTCCATCCATCCAAAACATTTTTAGCTTCCTAAGATCATGCGACTTCCGTGTTTTTTTTTTAACAGGTGCATTAACTATGCATGTGTATATATTATGTTATGAAGCAGATGTATCAACAAAGGGACATCAGTAGGTTTGATGATTTGGGATGTTTTTATCTGAACCCCTCATAGATCAATGATACCAAATGTGAATGATTATTTCATATGCAGAGTCTCTATTGTTAGACTATAAAAGATTCTCTGGAGGTACTGGTTAAAATGCATATTCCTAGGCTCACTCCCAGAGATTTAATTAGTAGCAGGTCAAGGTAGAACTCAGGAATCTACTTTTTTTGTTTTTAAGTAGGCTCCATGCCCCGCATGGAGCCCAGTGTGGGGCTTGAACTCAAGTTTATGAGATCAAGAGTCGGATGCTTAACTGACTGAGCCACCCAGGCACCCCAGGAATCTACTTTAAAACAGGCTTCCAAGGTGATTTCCATGTAGGGCCACCTGGCCCACAAGTGGAGAGATCCTGTCTCACGGAGTCGACAAGCTCAAATCCACATCATGCCACTTGAATGATTCAGTTACTTCCTAGTTCTTATTCCACACGTGATCACACCAACTAACAATCCTGCAGAAGAAATTCTTAGGATTACTTTTAAACAAAAGTATACCACTAGTCAAAGTTCTTTAATCCCCCCCCACTCCAGGAAACTAGCTCAGAATTAAGTATGTTCATAACTTCAATTCTGGTTTGTTTTCATTAAGAATTTTGGCAGAAAAGAGAGAGAATTGCCATTGGCCCTGGGTTAGGATATTAAGTGGCAATAAAGGACAGAGGTATTATCTAGTTAAAGTTTGTATTAGGTAGGTTTCTAAAAAAAAAAATTCACTGAAAAATTTTTTGAAAAAAAATTTCAAAAGCAGAATTTTCATTGAATAAAAAAGCAGTTTTGTTTGTTTGTTTGTTTTTAATTGCTCCACAGCTTCAGCTTCTCTTTTCCTCTTCTCATTTTAACAGTGGGTTGGATTTTGGGGAAAAAAAAAAGAGTTTCTAGTGGGCAGAGGACATGCATATAAAGGGAACAAAACAAACTTGGATGTTGTAAGAGAAAGCTTTCTTGTCATTAAAACTAAGGTGCCGAGGCCCCATTGCTCTAGCCCCATACTGTCTGTCTGGTCTGCAGTTGTCCTGAAAGACCACGGCATGGTGCCCTTCATCAAGATCTTCCTGGATGATGAGTGGTACCGGGAAGCCTCACTCAGCATCTTGGAGCAGCTCTCAGTCATCAACGCCGAGGAGTACATGAGCATCATTGTGGGCGCTTTGTGCTCATCCACTCAAGGGGAGCTGCAGCTGAAACTGGATCTTCTGCAGGTGACGTCAAGGCTTCCTTTGTGATGGGCTTTCCCACGGACAGGTAGTCGGTGATCGGCATTTGTGCAGGCATTCCCTCGGTCACTGTATTGTCCAGGTAGGGGAGCACTAGCTGCTATCACAGAGAAATCCCACATCCTCAGCAGCCTGACACATGGGGAGTTTCTTTCCTTTGTCTGGTCCAATCAGCGGTGGAGGGGGACACCATTCTGGGACAGCTGTCCTCCAGGCATCTCATCCAGCCAGGAGACAAAGAAAGGAGCACGGAGAGTTCACGAGGTGTTTTGCAGGCCTGCACCTGGCACACGTGAGCGTCTGTCCAACTTTCTTTGGGCACAACTTGTTTGGATACGAGGGGTGCCAGGAAAGGTAGTCTGGCTGGGCAGCTACCTCGCAGCAACACTGTCAACTGGGGAAGTGGAGTCTTGAGTTAGTGGTGGCCAAGCAGCTGCCTTGTTTAGTTGACCAGCATTTAGTGAGTGTCTACCCCCTAGCGGCCGAGTGCCTGGGACACACAGCGACTGGGGTTCATAAGAAGTGAGCCATCATTGTGATGCACTGTGGTCGTGCCCTGGAAGGTACTGAGCACAGGCTTAGCCACGGGAGCAGAGGAGTAGGAGAGCCCGATGCCGCCCCGCATGTTGAGGAAGACTTGCAGAGGAGGATGTTGGAGCTGGGATGGGGATGTAAGGGGCAGGCAGAGGCCTGGCCACAGAGGACAGAGGGGGAGTAGTAAAACTGGGGTGTCACTTGTGGGTAGCCAAGATGAGTATAGGTTTTTGTTTTTGTAACATTGTTAAGGATCATCAATAATTTTAACACAGTTAAAGCGATAGCACCTGCCCTTACCACCATCCCTTCTGCCTTACAATTTTGTTGTTCTTGCTTTTCCATTCCTTTTGTCGTTGTGGCCTTAATACGTATTTTAAAATTCCCTCTCTTTTGTTATATCCTGTTGAAGAGAAGAGCAGATGTAAATGCAAGTACCCCCCTGGGGGCCTCTCGTGTACTTGTGCAGCACAACCCTGTGCACAACACACACTCATGTCTCAGTGACGTACTACCCTTGATCATCGGTGATTTTAAAAAAATATGGAGTTGCTCTGACTTCCAAAATTAAACCAGTGGGCTTACTCAGCCGTGACTATTTCTGTACAAAACCATTTTAACATTTGGAGGATGGCGCTCAGTTTCTTTTACCTACTTGTTTCTCCACAGAGCCAGTCACTGTCATGTGATCGTCTGACATGTGTGTTCCCATCATCACGTGGCCTGAGCTTGCGTGCTTGGCATGGCCAAAGCATCACGAGAAGCCAATCCAAAAGGGTCAGAATGACCATAATTACCATGCATTTCACAGATGACCAAAACCAAAACAGTGATTTAGTTATAGAGCCAAAGAAATCAGTTTTATATGAAATAAAACCGGACTTATATGAAACAAAAAGTTAACTTCTTTTGAAAGATACTAGAGTCCCATGCTCATGTGAGGTAAAGGGACCGAGAGGGCCATGGGAGTGACAGTAAGGGAGAGAGATAGCAAGAATTAAAGGCAATTTACAGCTCGGGATGACTTGAACTTCATGTGGTCCAGTCTTAATGTTCCAGCAGGGACATGTCCAGAAAGCGTCTAATATAAATTGTGAGTTGAGCTTGAATCTAAGACTAGTGACTTAAAATCTAGGGATTTTTCTTCTTTAGCATGCTGGTTATTACATTTTTTTCTCACATGTCTGTCTTCAGCCTGATTCACACGAACTTTATGCTGATAAGCAACAGAGAAGGCATGATCAAAGTAGTCACGACTTTGGTTTCCTGGTGGGTGAATCACTGGAATCCCCATCTGTTTCTGGCATTTTCATATTGAGAGTCAAACAGATCCACAGAGAGGAAAGTTTTGGCTTTACTTTGCTTGGAGAGAATGAGTGTTTCTGTGCCCGTTATAGAGTACCCTGCTTTGCTCATGAAAAGTTCACCTTATTTACTCTGCGGCACAGAGGCACCTTATTGGAGTGTCAGCCCTTGGGTAATAGGACTGAATTTCTAGAATTAGCAATGTAAAGTCTTTCTGGTGTTTTACAGATTCAGTATCATTTCAGAATCTCGCTATCAAGGGATTAACACTGTGTAAGCTTATTTAACAAAGTCATACCCTGTGTTCAATGTGCCATCTTCTTGCTGGGTGCCAAGTTACTGCTGGGTGGTTGGGGGGTGGCGCCTGGAGCTGCTAGGGCTCTCCCAGGACCAGGGCTGTAGACACGTTGTTGCTCCAGTGGGTGATGGGGAGACATGGGGCTGTTCCTGACTGGCCCACCACTGAGTCATATGAGTGAGTATCCAATGTTTGCTGGAGTCTGAGATGGAATCTGCTTTTGTTCTAAACATCTTGGGAATCCATTGGAACTTTAGAAAGATGGAAAATTAGTTCTTTCTGGCTGGATCTCCCTTTTTAGAAGTTGAGTGTGTATGCTGCCCAAAACACCATGCCTGCAAAATGAGTCAGATGTAGGACGGGGGGAAGTGATGGAGTGGGGTGACCTCAAAGGCAGTACCCTCCCCCTGCCCCAAGGTTTGCCATCTCTGACATGCATCCATATCCAGGTGTGACCCTCACTTCCCTTCCCTGAGACAGTCAGCCAGCTGCTTTGGAGGAGAGAAATCCTTCAGAAACACCCAACTTTGGGCAGTAGTTTCCAAAATCCAGTGGTGTGGCGCTTCCATACCAACACACAAGCACACGTAACTTCACCACCTAATCCTGGCAAATGATAATTGAGTTAAAGAATAATGTAAGCAAATGAATTTCCTCTCCACTGCCAGTGGGACTGTGATTGGGTTATGCACAAATTCAGATTGATCTGCTAATATACATTTAGCTGTTCAACTCTGTACTTAATCACATTACGTCACGAGTCTTCCAGCATGACACATGGAAAATTATGAGGAATAACACATAATAGAATGTGAAATAAATCCTGTTAGTCCTAACATAGTTAGCGCTTTGCAGCAGACATCCATTTTATAGATTCAAGCTGGAGGAATACTAACTCCAAGACGATGACATGGTAACTGAGTTAAGGAGGAGAAAATGTGCTTAACGCTGACCTTTCTTGAAATGTGTCAACCCTAGCCTGATTACTTTGACTTCAGCTGATTAAATTTACTCCCTTCCACCGACTCGCAAGCCTCGGTGATGCATTATCATGCAAAGTTGAATGACAGTAATGGAGACCCTCCTCCTAGGCCCCCAGTTCCTGACAAATCGTTTCCCGAAGTAGCACAGTATTTATTTTCCTTTATGATAGAAATGTTTCTCTTTAGTTGCTATGAAATTAAGCCTTTGTAATTGGATTTTGGACTTTTTACTTTATGACTCTGCAAATATGAAATTAACCCCATCCCAAGAAATAATAGAGCAGTCTAAGTTCTAATGAGATTACCCCCATTTTAGATAATGATTCTGAATTTAATAAATCAAACAAAGCAACAATTAAGGACAGCCATTTCTTTCTCTTCCCCTCTCCCAATAGGAAGAGAAAGGAGCCATCTAGGAATTACAGGGGACAGACCCTCTGCAAGACATGGGTCTTAAGAAGGACTTTCATTGGGTTGCTCTGTTTTGAAAATACCTGCTCTCAATACTCTTTGAATGATGGAGTCCTTTTGAACGATATCTGGCGTCAAATTAGATGATTGGAAGGTGGTTTCTTAAATAAGAGGGGAGTTTGGTGGTCACCCAGTGCTCAGACAAGTGCCTGTAATTTGATTTGTTTGTTTTTTGATCATTCTCCCTTTTTCATATTTGTTTTGTCGTGTGTCCTTGTGATAAACAGCAGAGCTTCATTCAATTCATTTACCTTCAACAACCTCCTACTGGTTTTAGGAGCCACCGAAAGCACTCCTATAAATTTAGAGGGCTTAACATCCTAGAACTCAAGATTTCCCAATGTCTTGGTGATTGACTGATTTTTCCAAGGCATGAGTCACATGACCAGGCACAAGGTCAGACGCAGACAATGCAATGCATGCTATACCATATACCAGTGCTCATCCTTTCACACAGAATATCAATTGGTGGGAAGAGACCAGTACCACCACACACACTTCCAGGTTAGAGTGTGTTTCCAACTTGGTGGAAGAAATCATATTCTGTTGGGAGTGAGTTGCTCACACAAGGCAGGCACAGATGTAGCGGATCTGTGTGTGGCTTGTCCTGGCCCCGGAGTCCCATGGGTGGGGTATAGGGGCAGGCTGCTACAGTGATGCTGTCTACCCAGAGCAAGGCCTTGTTTGTCTAGAAGCCTTAGTGTTGCTACACCATGAACTTGAGCACTCACTGAGCATCACCCTTCTGGAGAATCTGCTTTAACAGTCTACATGCTTCTTTTAAGGAACTTCCTATAAAGTCAAACTTTCCTGGGTTTTGAGCCAAATTCAGAATTTGTTAGGCCATATCTTGTCCTCCCTCTCCTCTTCCCTTCCCCCCTTCCTACTTTCTTCCTTCCCTCCCTCCCTCCAAAACATTTGTCAAATACCTAATGTATAGCACACACTGTCCTCAATGGATGGTGCATTGTAAGTGCTCAATAAATGTTTGATTTTAGAAGGAAATAAAAGTTTGTCTAGTAATATCTCGGTGATCTGGAGAAGGTAGATTCTACCATAGGCTACCATGATAGCCTAAACTCCGCACATGGTCTCTTCTATAAGCTACAGTTATGTTTCCTTCCATTAAACCTTTCTCTCCTCTACCTTGATTCCTTCATATTTTTACACCAGATATTAAGTAGATTCATTTTACCATCTTTCTTCATTTAATAGAGATACTCATGTTTGCACAGAGAGGGAGATAAATAATGATAAGCTACTTTATATAGATTTCACTGTGAGTCTTCTTTGCAATATAAGAGATGGTTCATCCCACTCATTCAGCAAATATTTATTAAGTGCATGCTACATTCCATGGCAGTAAGTTGCTGGATTTCACAGAGATTCAGTCTAGTGGAGGGCAGAGACAATTTTCAAGTAACTTCATGACAGTGTGAAGAGAGTTTGGTTCAACAAATGAGAGGGGGCTATGAGCACTCGGCCTGGGGTGCGTACAAGCCAGTGGTCAAAGGAGGCTCTCTGGAGGGAGATGCAATGAAGTTAAGATCCAGGACAGGAAACCAACCCTGTCCCTGAGCATAGACTTTGACAGCAGCCATTTGAAAGGAGGCACTGAGGGGGACCTAAAACTAAAAGGAAGAGGAACAAGGTGGACACCCCACTGTTTCAGAATCGCCCTCAGGTAGCTCACTGCTACCACAACTTGAACAGGGAAGAACACGTGCAATGCTTTGGCAGGGGTGTGCTGGAGCTTGGCGTTAACAAGCTGCCTCCTGGGCTTTCCTCATTTTTATCCTGTTGGTGTTTCAGTCTCTGCTCAGGATCCTGGAGACCCCCAAAGGCCGTGCTGCTTTCAGAGTGTCCAGTGGCTTCAATGGACTCCTGTCTCTGCTCTCTGACCTGGAGGGGTCTCTCCAGGAGCCCCCTCTGCAGACGTGGGGGATGGTGTCCCCCAGCCAAACCCTGGACCTTGTCCTGCACACCCTCCGTGCCTTGTCTGCGGCGTTGCACCTGGACCCCGTCAATGGTGACTTCTTCAAGAGGAACGGGCTTTTTGAGAAGCTGGCTGAGGACCTCTGTTTGCTGGGCTGTTTTGGAGCCCAGGAGGAAGAGGGAGCCCCTCTGCACTCCGGGGAGGACACAAAGGCCAGGCCATTTGCTGATTTGCTGAGTGTGGCCTTTACATCTGCCAGCTCACTCCCACCCAAGATACAGAGCTGCCTCCAGATCCTCAGCTTTCTGGACAGCATGGCCAGTGGCACCCTTCACCTACGCAGAGACCTGAAGGAGTCCCCGAGGGCTGGGCAGGACCCAGTTGTGAATGCCCAGAAGGAAGACGCTGGCAGGGACCCCCAAGGAAACTTCAAGCAGTGGCCAGACCTGGAGGAGAGGTAGAGCTTTGCTGCCTGCTTCTGTAATCGGGTCATCAGTGTGTTTCTCTCTCCTGTTTTCTTCCAAATATCCTGTGCATGTGTAGTGGGTCGGAAGCCTAGACCTACAAACTGGGGGGGTGGGGTGGTGGTGGTGGTGCAAAAATGTCACGTGACCTTTTTTCCCTTTAAATCAAGTTAACTTCAACTCCAATCTCCTCTACCTTGGGAGCTGGCAGAGCACCAATCTGAGTCAATACGTGATTAGAGGATGCTTTTGAGTTACACAAGACCCGGGGGGCTTCCCAGATCTTGGAAACCAAGGGCAGAACTCTGCCAATAAGCTCCCTTTCTCTTTTGCCATCTTAGCTGCTGCTCTGGGGAGGCTTGGTGCCTGTGCCCAGCCGCCCTGGTGTGCCGGGCAGCCCTTGCCTTGGGAAGCCTTAACTTACCCACTGCCCCCCCTTTCCCCTGCACTGCTGGGGCTGTGATGAGGTCCTTTGACTTGCAGGATAACCATGGTGTCCTCCCCCATCACCGGTTCCTCCTCTTCTTTCTCACCGCTTCCACTCTTTGTAACAATCATCTCTGCTTACCTCATAGGCCCATCTCCTCCATGAGCCCAGACTTTTGTAGACACGCTTTACTTCCATTCCTGTAAGGCAGACTTCCACTAAAGCAAGGGAGCACAAAGAACACCCTTCCTTCCTTTGGAGTGGCAGGGGAAGAAAATGAAAGAACATAACAGCAATTGTGGGTTATCTTTTTTATTCCCTTAAGGTAGCAATGACAAAACACAAATTAATATTGTAATAAATTATCCTGCCTACCCCCTCTCTCCACACCATCTGACGTTTACCGCCACAGGATGCCCTTCTGAGACACATTGTGCACTTTCATCCAAAGATGTTGGATTGGCCAGACTTCAGTGTTGGGAGTTGGTGGTGAGGGGGATGGATGCCAAATCTCCAACTATGCAGATAATCGTATCATTGTTCTTGTTTCTCCAGCTAATTTGCTAAATTAATTGGTTCTCTAATCTTGCACTTGCGCAGACACCAACTTGCTCATGAAGTATTTATTGCTGCTTTGATTTGCTAAGTTTTTAAAAGGACTTTTGTTCATGAGAAAGTTTGGCCTTTCACACTCTTTTCTTGACTATTTTTACTATCAAGTTTATGGTAGTGGCAGAACTTGGGCAGTGTTGTCTCTTCTATTCTCAGGAAGACTTTATGTAAATAAAGATTACTGTTTCTATTCCTTAGCTTTGTGATAGAATTTTCCAGTAAAAACCTCATAAGCCCAATGTTTTCTTGTAAGAAGATTTATTTTTGTGAGAATAAATTTATATTTCTTCTTGAATCATTCTTAGTAATTTTTCAAGTTCATTTTCCCATTCCAAGTTTCAATTTACTGGCATAAGGCTGTTCACAATATCTTTTTAACTTTCTGCTCCTGACATGATCGTTTATGTCTTTTCTCTCCCCTGCCCCCCAGCACCCCAGCATTCTTGACAGAGTTTTATTTATCAGCGTGTCCATGAGCCAACTTTCAGCTTTTCCTATCTCTCCTACATACGTTTTCTATTTCTGTTTTCATTTGTTTGTTCTTATTATGTCCTCTACTTTCTTTGGGTTTATTCTGGTATTCTTCTCCTTAATTTAATTGATTAGGAGACTCATTTTCAGTTCTCTTTTTAAATGGAAATTTCTCTGTCACTGTACTTTAGCTGTATCACCCAAGTTTCATTATGTTGCACTTTTAATATTATTTAGTCCTAAATATTTTAATTTCCTTTTTGACTTATAGTTTGATTCTTGAATCTTGTTTGGATTGTGAATTTCCAAAGTTACAGAGTATTTTTGGTCATTTTCCATTGTTGTTGAGTTCTAATTTTATCATCATGAGAGAAGATGGACTGTATGATGGTAATCCTCTAGAAATTAGTTGAACTTGACTTTGTGGCTTCCAATGTGATAAATCTTCATAAGTGTTCTGTAGGTGCTTGAAAAGAATGCATATTTTCCAGTTGTTACACTCAATGTTCTATTTCTGTCCTTTATATCAAATTTGTCTACTGTCTTCTTCAAATTTTCAGATTATTTAATCTGCTTGACACATCAGTTACTAGGCTATGTTAGATATTTTTCATTATGGTGATAGATTTATCAATTTCTGTTCATTTTTGCCTTATATTTGAGGCTATTAGAATCACACATATCTACAATTTTTTTATCATCTTGTAGAATCAAAAAATTGCACCTTATATGGTGACCTTTTTTATCTCTAATAATACATTTTGCCATAAAAACAATGTTGTCTAATCATAATAAAGCTACACCAGCATTCTTTTGGTTAGTATGTGCCTGGAAATTTTTTAAAAATTCTTTTCTTTCAAGCTTTCTGGGTCCTAATGGTTTAGGTGTTTCTTTTGTCAACACTAAAGAGCTAGTTTTGTTTTCACTTTATTTTATCATTTAACCCAGCATGATATTTTTTGGTTGCTGAAGCATGTGCTTTGTTTACATTTTTATAATTATTAATATGTTTGGAATGATTTCTCCTTTGTTCTTTTGTATTTTCTATTGTTCCACTTTTTCTTTTGATTTTTTTCCTTGTCTTCTTTTGAACTATTAGAATTTTAATTTTTTAATTTAATTTTTCCCATTGACTAATTTGGATCTTATACTCTGTTAGTCTTTCAGTGGTTTACCCTTCTAGTGGTTACCCTAAAATAATTTAAGTCATCCTCATAATGTTTAACTATTTACTCTGTTTACTATTGCTATTTATCTTTAACCTCTTTCCAATACATATGTGTTACATATATAATATGTAAGCACTTAATTTAACTCTTAAATGTATACTTATATTTCTAATGTATATATTACTGTTGCCCAATATTAATTTTGGGCAGTCCATCAATCTAATCTAAAACTAATTTTAACTAATCCATCAAATAAGGCATTTATTCATGTATTTTTTTGTTGAGGTATAATTGACATATAACATTATATTACTTTCAGGTATAAAACATAGTGATTCAATATCTATCTATATATATTTTAAGGACTTTATTTATTTGAGAGAGAGAAAACCCTCAAGTGGGGTGAGGGGCAGAGGGAGAGAATCTCAGGCAGACTCCTCACTGAGTGTGGAGCTCGACGTGGGCCTTGATCTCACAACCCATGAGGTCATGACCTGAGCTGAAACCAAGAGTTGGACACTCAACTGACTGAGCCACCCAGACACCCCTCAATATTTGTATATATTGGGAAATGATTACCACAGTAAGTCTAGTTATTAACACTGATCATCACACTAGTTACAATTTTTTTTCTTGTGGTAAGAGCTTTTAAGATTTATTCTCTTTGCAACTTTCACATATAAAATATAGTATTATTAACTGTAGTCAGCATGCTGTACCTTATGTTCCCATGACTTATTTATTTTAAAACTGGAAATTTGTAACTTTTCATTCCATTCATTTATTTTGCCAACCCTCTATCCCCTGCTTCTGGCAACCACCAATCTATTCTCTGTATCTATGAGCTCTTTTTTTTTTAGATTTCACATACAAGTGAGATCATATGGTATTTGCCTTTCTCTGAATTATTTCACCTAGCATAATGCCCTCAAGGTCCATCCATGTTGTCACAAAAGACAAGGTTTCCTTCTTTTTTTATGGCTGAATAATAGTCCATTGTGTATATATACCACATCTTCATCCATTCATTCATCGATAGTCACTTAGGTTGTTTCTGTATCTTGGCTATTATAAAGAATGTTGCAATAAACATAGGGGTGCATGTATCTTCTTAGGTTGGTGTTTTCATTTTCTTCAGATAAATACTCAGAAGTAGAATTGCTGGATCATATGGTAGCTTTATTTTTAATTTTTCGAGGAATCTTCATATTGTTTTCCATAATGGCTGTACCAATTAACATTCCCACTGACAGTGCATGAGTGTTCGTCACTAACACTTGTTATTTCTTATCTTTTTGATGATAGCCATTCTAACAGGTGTCATGGTGGGGGCTCATTGTGGTTTTGATTTGCATTTCCTGAATGATTAGTGATGTAGAAAACCTTTTTATCACCCATATATCTTCTTTGGAAAGATGTCTCTGCCCATTTTTTCTTAAAAGATTTTATTATTTGACACCAGAGGAGAGAGAGAACGCACAAGCAGGGGGAGCAGAAGGCAGAGGAGAAGGAGAAGCAGGCTCCTGCTGAGCAAGGAGCCCAATGCGGGGCTTGATCCCAGGACACTGGGATCATGACCTGAGCCAAAGGCAGATGCTTAACCAACTGAGCCATCCAGGTGCCCCATTCTGCCCATTTTTGATTGGATTTTTTTGGTATTGAGTTGTATGAGTTCTTTATATATTTTGGGTATTGACCTTTTATCATATATGCAATTTGCAAATATTTTCTCCCATTCTGTAGGTTGCCTTTTCATTTCACTGATGGTTTCCTTTCCTGTACAGAAGCTTTTTAATTTGGTGTAGTTCTACTGGTTCATTTTTGCTTTTGTTGTTTTTGCTTTTTGTGTCAAATCCATAAAATCATTGCCAAGACCAATGTCAAGGAGCTTACCACCTATGTTTTCTTCTGTGAGCTTTATGGCTTCAGGTGTTATGTTCATATCAAGTCTTCAATCCATTTTGGGTTAATTTTTGTGTATCGTGTAAGGCAGTGGTCCAGTTTCATCCTTTTGTGTGTGGCTGTCTAGTTTTTTCTCAACACCATTCATTGAAAAGACTATCCTTTCCTCACTATATAGTCTTGGCTCCTTTGTCATAAATTAATTGACCACATATATGTGGGTTGATATGGTATCTCCATTCTGTTCCATTAATCTATGTATCTTATGCCAATGTCGTACTATTTTGATTACTCTATCTTTGTAGTACTATTTGAAATCAGGGAGCATGATGCCTCCTGCTTTGTTCTTCTTTCTCAAGATGGTGACATTTCTCACTGCAGTGGTACCACAGCTGCACTTTGTGAGCCAGGC